AACCGATTCTCGCGGTTCGGGGCGAGCAAGAACTCGTGGGAAACGCATCGTCGCGCACCCACGAGATCGCGCGGGACGTGTCTCCGCGGAAAACAGGGGACGCAGGATCGGCGGATCGCCGAGCGTGTTTGCATTTCTGCGATGTCGAGGAGTTCATCGCCGTTATACGGTCGCTTTTATGCAACGCTCCATTGTTCCTTCATCTGCCGCGCATGGCCGCGCCGCGGAACGTCTAATCGGCCATGTTTGTCCCGTCGATTCGCTGGAGAATCGGTTTGAGCGGAGTCGGCTCTGTTGTCGAAGGTGGGTGTAGTTGTTTAAATGTTGAACGTGGAATTGTAATATTCCGAGGCTGAGATTCGATTGAAGTTGAAAGACTCGGTTCGCTAGGAAATTGACAAAGGTGAATGTAGTTGAAATTTTGAACGCGGAATTGTAATATTCGGGAATTTTCAAGATTCGATCGGTCAAGTAGCTTGTTGATTCGTTTGAGAATTGGTATTTATAAGTGAAGTGAATCTTTTGTCTGCTAAAGTTCACTGTGACGAGCTAATTGCAGATAAAATTGCGTTATTGGTTAGTTTATGGAATTCTATTTGATAGTCCCTTGGATTTGCTGGAGAATCGGTATAAGTTTCTTTACTAAACATCACGAGGAGCTAAATATTCTGCAGAAAATTCTATTATTAAGTAATTACTAAGATTCGATTATTTGAGTACCTCGTGCACCTGGCAATCGGTATAATCAAGATCAATCATTTCTTTCCTTAAATCCTCCACATAAGACTCTACTGTTGAGTAACCTTCGAAATTACCTGAAGGATCAATTTCATTTCTCCACGTGCCTGACGAAATTTTCGGGACTAATGAGTCAATTTGCCAAGGAACCTTACACGCCACTTTCCGATGAATATTCATGGGAGAAGATTGCGTAACGTCTCTCGTCGCGGAGAGATCAATCAGTCGGTGCCGGCCAGAAACGTCGGCGGATAATTACAGAAAGTGAAACCTCACCGAGACGAAAAGACAGTTTCGCAATGGGAGTTCACGGTGCACGGGAGGGAATGAATGAATAATAAAAGGCATCGAGATTCCGGCCGGTATTCACGCGTGGAATCGTACGAGCATGTTGCTTTTCGTACGATGAAAAACACGCGGAAGGTAACGTTCCGGGTCTGTATAGAATGTACACCGGTTCCCATAAAATTCCTTACGGTTTCTGCGGCTGAATTGTGGCACACCAGTTGCATACCTTGCCGCGTAACCGAGAAGCGTGATAAATCTCCGTAGACAGCGAGTTATTATTTAATGATGTTGCGCTGCGCCGGGCATCGCCGATAAAACGAGGTTAATCTATCCGATCCTGCCGCGAGCGACTCCAATTTCCTTCTGCAAACAACGCGAAAAGTGACCTTAATCTTCACACGTTTCATCGATCATATCTCATTTTCTTCCTTTTCAATTCGTCCAGTAATAAGACAATTGCATCGTTCTACAGTTACTGTTCATCATCTATCCATCATCTTGCGGGCTACCTGTGTGTTCCTTCGTAAATTGTACACATGAAAAACCACTGGCTACAAGTTTGATTATCTAGACTGATTAGTCTGGATCTCGATGCATTTCAACAATCATTATGAATATCGATCCACATTTCCTCTGTATCAACCACTTATTTACATGTTCTGTAGTCTACAGTATTTACGTGGCCTACCATAGAAAGAACTACTATTCTAATCATCCTTGCTCAGAATCTCTATCCAAACTTGATTCAAACAATCAATCATCACTGATCATTCCAATATTACAGCAACACACTCCACTTTCAACGATTCCAAACTTGCTTTAAACAAAATCAATCACTGATTCCAATATTACAGCACACTTCATTTTCAACGATACCAAACTTGCTTCAAACAATCAATCTTCACTGATCATTCCTATATTACAGCAACACACTCCATTTTCAACGATTCTAAACTTTCTTGAAACAAAATCAATCACGGATTCCAATATTACAGCACATATTCATTTTCAACGATTCCAAACTTACTTCTAACAATCAATCATCACTGATCATTCCAATATTACAGGAACACACTCCATTTTCAACAATTCCAAACTTGCTTCCAACAATCAATCATCACTGTTCATTCCAATATTACGGAAACACACTCTATTTTCAACGATTTCAAATTTGCTTGAAACAATCAATCACAGATTCCAATATTACAGCACACTTCATTCAATGTATACCAAACCATTAAATCCCCCCTGGACTATTGACTCCAAACCTCAAACATCCAATATCTCCAATGATCGACGAAATCCTAGCCAAACATCATATCAAGCGACGATTCCTCCGAGTCACCTAATCCAATTCACGGCTCACAGTAGACTCCCCTGCGTAAAGAGCCACTATCCCAATCGTCCTCGCTGAAAATACCGTTTCAAATTTAATTGAGACAAACACAGCCGAAGGGGACAATGACTCCTGTCCCCCCAGTTTCAGTCCGCCTATAAACAGCGCTGCGTACGAGCGATCCAGCCGAAGAAGCGAGCGAGGAGAGATCCCCACGGAGAACCGTTATCCCTGCTCCGTTCGATTATCGACAGTCACCTGGTCGAAGGTCTCGTGTCGGCGATGTTTTAAACCTTTGAACTCTGTAGGCTCCAATATTGCACCAGTTATAATATCAAATATTTCAATGAATCAAAGAAACTACTCTAAAATTATTCGATTTTTCACACATCCAAATTTTGTATTAACAAGGAAAATAAAATATCGAAGAAATGTTATAGCATTTCTAATTTTCGCTAGGAATACTATAAAAATTATGCTTCTTATCTATCGCACGCGAATTACAGAATTTCATTTGTTCCTCTGAATAAATGGGATTAACCCTTTGAACTCTGTAGGCTCCAGTATTGCACCAGTTATAATATCAAATATTTCAATGAATCTTAAAGAAACTACCCTAAAATTATTCAATTTTCCACACATCCAAATTTTGTACTAACAAGGAAAATAAAAGATCGAGGAAATGTTATAGCATTTCTAATTTTCGCTATGAATACTATAAAAATTAGTTGCAGTTGCTGATAGATTACAAAGCAATCTGGAGTGCTAAGGGTTAATATTATCTGCAAGACTTCATAATTCTCCTCTATCAAATCGAGTGGTGACTGAGCGTCAACTCTCGAGTGCAAGGGGTTAACTCGCGTGCATCTAGTCCAGCCAGATTTCCTGCTGCACGCGTAATCCCGCGCCGGCCCGGCTTAGGCGGCGCGGACTTCCTGTCCGTTGCGGGTAACGGGTCTTCCGGCCCCGGTCGAGCGACCATCGTCGTCCGACGAGCGATCGTCGGTACGCGCCGATGTTCCGTCTTCTATAGAAATACACGCTGCAATACGCTCGCGGCTCGACGAATCCGTGACCGAACCGTCGACTAGAGGAATGACCCAATTACACGTTTCGTAGGTGAACCACGGTACCGTTAAACATTAACGAGCTGCTCGGCGTTTCGTCTCTTTATGCGCGCCGCGCGATCGGAGCCATTAATTCCTATCAGCTTTAACATTTAACCTCTTGCCCAGGGTTGCCTTCCGAGACGATGAAATTAGCACTGGGTCGTATAAATAATTTCTTGGATACGTTGATTATTTTCGGAGAGTATGATCAACTTTTTTCAGTCTGACACACATTTTCTTCGATTATTGACGATTGAAATATTGATTAATAGATTGAATTCTTGGGTAGTTTGTGCAGATTGATCCAAGTGGAAATTTGGGATTTACATAAGCACCGGGACTAATAGATTCTCCGCGATTTGATTTCTATTAGTACTTTCACATCCGGTCTACCTTCTAGTATTCGGTTTTTCAATATTTCTCCTGTGTTCTCTTTGTGAAAGTGTATTTCGTAAACACTTGTTCTTGTGTTGCTGGAAGCGACATTGTAGAGTTATTATCCATTTGTTACAATTTATACCTCCTACCCTCTCTATAATTATTTGATATTATAGAAGCCCCCCCATTATAAAATTCAACGATATCTTATTACCATATTCCAACATCGATTTCTATAAAAGCTGAATACGTACACCAAGTTGATATTTTCAATGTTAATTACTCATATTCCCATTTCTCTAAGCTAACCACCGAGCAAGCAACCAATATACATATTCAATTAACCACTTGCACTGGAAATGAATTCAGAAATTTGGCAAAGTCTCCTGCGATGAATTTTTTTACCTATTTTACACTGATATGTACACTAATTTCGTTTGTTAACCCTTTGCGGACGAATGTCGACTTTTCGATCAGATGAAATGTTCATATTTGGAATACTAAGTTGACGAATGACTTAATTTACTTGAATAGCAAGTGATCAGTGTATAGTTCCCTTTTTACTGTTGTTTAAGCATTCAATGTATAATTTATCTTCAAATGTTGCAAGCTTTGTGTACTTTAAAGAGTCTTCGTCCGCAAAGGGTTGATCATTCTGTATAGAGTGATACATTTCGAAGTGATCTGATAGGTGTAATGCGACCAGATTATCAATATGTGAAAGACATCATTGAGAATTTTCGGATAGAAACGTCTCGACGTGCGTAACACGTCTTTACAGCGCAAGTGGTTAACAAAACCGAGAAACCAAGAGTCAAAGAGTATTTCACCTTTTAATATTGTTTTATATAGTATTTCACGTTTTTATATTCTTTTATACAGTTTTAAACGGTTTTATATAGTCTTTTACCGTTTTATGTAGTTTTAAATGGTTTTATGCAGTATTTCGCCTTTTTATATTGTTTTATACAGTTTTATTTAGTTTAATATTGCTTTATATAGTATTTCACATTTTTATATTGCTTTATACGGTTTTATATAGTTTTATATAGTATTACACCTTTTTGTATTCTTTTATACCGTTTTATATAGTTTTATATAGTGTTATATATTTCAATCTTTTACAATGAAATGTTCTCTTTCTGTTGCAGTAATATGCTGATAAGAGAATTGGCGACCGTGTGGGTCGCCGTCCTCTTGTGCCATCTTCAGCTAACGGAGTCTCAGGTGAGCGTTCGATTATTACTCCGTCATTGCCGATCGCGGCGTGGACGATCGGCGCCGTCGACGATCGTTTCACGCTGATTTCACTTTGCGGTCCGATATGACACTCCAATCGTTATTTAATCAATAACTCCTCGCAATTCCGCGGGAAATAAACGCATTCTTTCCGGAGCCTGCTATGGAACGGAATTCCGACGTCCTTGTGCAACATGGCCGCTGACGCGACCACTGAAACATTTCAATGCTGAACGTTTTTCACGTTGTGAAAGCACACGGAAATTAAGTGAACGTCGTGCAGCCTATACGAGAATTCAGTTTTAGTATATTTCTTTTTTGAATGGCTAATGGAATGCTTTAGAATGCCGATGCATTACTTAATAATTATAGGTTGCAGTCTATCAACTCGAGGAAAATGTTTTACCGGTTTTTAACACGTTCACAGCGCCGTAATTCACACTCTTTCCCATCTGGCGGCTGAATTCCAAAAATTGATAAAAATATTAAAGTTATAAATGAATAAGTTAATTTTCAAATATGTGGAAGTGTTTTCTAATTACACATACATATTTGATGGTACACGCCGTCTAATATATCTTACTGTGAGCCATCGGTACACGCCGGTGTGAACGTGTTAATTATATTTCTGAAACAGTCGCCTGTAATTTTCTGTTCTTTATTTTATCGTGATTATTTATATAATGTATAATGCAACGTGTGAAATAAGAATTGTAGGAGACAATAATAGAGATTCAATATTGTTTTTAACAGAGTGCAATCTTTGAAGTGGAACGTGCGATTGCGTTTGATTTTTATTGTTGTAGATCGATCTGTAGAATGATGCATTTACGAAGCTCGTGATTTGTTTATTGGATTTATCGTATAAATCGTTGGAAAAGCTAGAAGATGGAGAAACATCATTTCCTGTCGAATATAAATTCATTTCCTCCGTTAATTCAATATTTCTCTTCTATTTCCATCTTGTGGATGTTCCTTGAATTTCGACGAATCGTATTACTGCGGTTTCCTGAATCATAACTGTAGATCTCGGAATTGTGTGTACTCGTAGCATTCGAGAATCGTAGGAAAAGGAGGAAACAAGATGCTGACTGGAATCGGATACTGTTTCATTTTATTTTGAACTCGACGAGGCCGTTCGCAACAGAAATTTCATTTGCCTTACATTTCCTCGAACTCGGAATTAATAAATATGAAATTGTTACTCTTTGAATGGCTTGTGGAAATGGGAAATCGCAATTTTATACAGATAGTTGACGTTTTCACGATTTTAATCTCCAATATTGTACTTAAAATTCGATGTAACAGTTGAATGTTCCACAGTTTCGATCGAATGATTCAAAATTCCACAACTTCGACCGAGTAATTCAAAATTCCACAATTTCCATCGAACAGTTCAAAATGCCATAATTCCTATCTAATAATTCAAAATTCTACAATTCCCATTCAATAATTCAAAATCCCACAATTCCTATCCAATAATTCAAAATTCCACAATTCCCATCCAATAATTCAAAATTCCATAATTCCTATCTAATAATTCGAAATTCCACAATTCCGATCGAATAATCGAAGTTCCCCGATCGCGATCAGAAGTCCGATCGATCACCGGCAGTTCCCCGTCTGCCTCAAAATTTCTCTTGAACTTTGCCGAGCCTTTCGCCACGTCGAGACACTTCCTATACACAAAATGTCGCAACTGTACACACACGTAACATTGTTCGCGCGACTCGCGTCTCGCGGAGCAGCGCACACGCGTGTGTTCTATAGATACACGATCGAGCCCGCGCTGAAATTCACTTTCACCTCGCGCAAGCCGCCGCCGCGGCGCGTTAGCCAGTGGTAACTCCTTCGCGGAGGCTACATGCCAATTACTTCATAACCCCGCGTTCAATTTCCCAAGAATTCTAGGCGAGCTCTTATCTCGGCCGCGCGAGAAATTCCCGATGCCGTATTTTTCTTTTTCTGTTCGCGATTCGCAATTACCGTTGCGCGATGCCCTGCACGCAACCGGGCAACTCCAACAATTTTCAGGAAGAACGAGTGTTTCTGACGATTTCATGAACAACGGTGATCAGAAATATCAACATTCACTGTTGAATAACTTTTTAGTGATATTCACGTGTTAATCCTTTGCACTCGATGCGTGTATTCTGCTCGATGTTCGAATTCTAGAGATTATTTCTGTATTACGAGTGAGTATTTACTTTCGGATTGAACTTAAGTCTCGCGGCGCTACCATTCGCCGCCATTTTCTCTGAATTATGTATAAACACATTGGTCCCGTGTAATCGCGACGCGATTTGAATTTAAAATATTTTGTGTTGAGTAACGCGCGTAATTAATAGTGGCAGTAACGTTTACGTAATACGTTAGATTAAAGGTCTTTTGCACCAGATTAAGACTCTTATGGATGTTCCCGTGAAATCTTGCGATGGATCGTTTTCTCACGTGGATGTTACATTTTTCATTATTCTAGTACAGCTTTCATCCCCTTCTGAGGGATTCATTTGTACGTGGCTGAAATTTATTCGCTCAACGAAGAATCTTATAATGCCCTTAACTCGCGGAGGGATTCCAGAGTTTTAATTAATTCCGTACTAACATCAATTTCGCACGGATTATTATTACCGCTTCCTCGTATTGTTTTTCACTTAAATTTATAAACACTTTTTCAATTTAATCACGTGAATTATTTCTACGGACGAGCTCAATTATCTTTTAACGAACATATTTTTCGAGCTAATGGATTTTGTAATTTATCAGTGTATCCATTACTCCGGGCTTATTTTCACGAGCATTTGAATATTAAAGTTTCCGTGTCGTTCGTAGATGCGTGTATTTTCGTATAATATGATACAGTTTCTTTCACTGCAAGCCGAGCCCAAGTAGTCAGCCGAAGGTCTCGCGGTATTATTTTCACCAGTCACACGAGATTAAGTTAACGAGGGAAGTGTGGGTTACTTACGCAACTGCGTGCCATTAATTGACACTCGTGTAATACCGGTAACGATCTAATGAGGTTTCGAATTAAGGGACTTGCAGACGGTGAATATTATTGGCGCCAGGGAAACGAGATCCCTGTTACTATCGAGAAATTCTTATAACTGGCGAATCAATTTTATACGTGGCAACATTGTGTTCTTTAACACTTTACCGGCCGCTGTTACGTACATGTGATTATCATTCCGATGCTTGTATAGGAATACATATCGATGCTATTTTTAGAGAAACAATTGCTTCCACTGTTCTCCCTTCCCAATTTATCAGATCGTCTTTTGTCACAATCTTTTAAGCAGATGCTTCTTCTGTTAGTTTGAAACTGTCTTTTGTTGCCTTCCTGCGTCATACTCGCCCGCGCCAACCTAACGGCGATGCGATAAATGTGCGGCCGGCAAAGCGTTAATATAATATTTTTAAATACTATCAACAGTCAGGTATGAAACCAAATAAAAGTGTTGTAGTGGAAATGTGAAGAAACAGTGTTCTTACGACATTCACAACACTCGACAGTAGTACATTACATCAACAATAATAATAGTATAAGATCAAGATCCAGAATGTTTCAGAACTGAGAGTAAAAATAGTCCGATGACTTTGTGGTCGTGATCATTAAAGCGCGACCAACGAGTCAAAACGAATCATGCGCGAGGGTCGAGTTCTCGACACGAAGTTGACGTTTCTGTTTCTCTTAAGATTGCTACGATTATCTAACAGCAGTTCACTAACACCAAACTTCGCAGATAAAACTATAAAAGGATCGATAAAACTGAATTAAGTTAATACCAATTCAAATCAATACTCAATCAGAAGAAAACAACTTAGTAATTACGATTTCCCTCTGTAACTTATCGTATATACATCAACACTGTCAAACATGAAATTCTGTTTATCAGTATCAATTATAATTTTCTTACTACGTTCTTCAAGAAATAAATCAAAGTAACTTTATCTGAACAAATGTTATTTTCTGATATTTTTTTGTAATAGCACAATATTTGTGATCTCATTAGATAAGTACTCTTATGAATTTTTTTGCACACACCTAATCACTTCCGCATTTTTCGTAAATATCCACAAAAGTTTAGCATCCAAACGGTTAATCGGTCAATTAACATAAAATAAACCTACAGCTATCAACTGATTCAAAATCTCAGAATACCCCATTTAACTCTAAACACATCGAACTCAACATTTAAATACAAATAGCTAAAATATTCGATAACATATATGGGAATGGATGTATTTGAGTGTGTGAATAGACATATTGATGAGTGATGAATGTGTGTGCAATAGATGAATGACGCGACTGTGTATGTGAGTGCGTTTTGAATGAATGTTCAAAGCATTGGAATATTCTAGAGTATACTGATTTTCTCTATATGTTAATAACGTTCGTTTTTTTATAAATCTAGAATATTCCAAATATATGTGAAATTAATGCATGGTGACGAAAGAATGTTCTAGAAAGTGTATGAGTGAGACAAGAGCATCTGAGTATATAAATAGTGTGTCCGTTGTTTGATTTAGTTGTTTTATTGTGAGTTGTCAAGAAACAATTATACCGTTTCCAATAAAATTCTCTTTCTCCTACACATCTGACGAAATAAAGAATAGCATAACGTAACGCAATACCGAAGAAATGAATCATTTCTATTTGTCTTTGGAAATAAGTGTCACGTGGATGGAACGCTCGAGATTTTCGTGTCAGTTAACGGGTTAAACGTGACGCAGCGTTGGGCGAGCATCCATAGTAAATGAAAACTGGAGGACGTTCCGAGGTCCACGTCGCAACGACCGCCCCAATTGTCGCATGCCCGCTAGGTGAATATCGGAGGCAGCTGTGTTGCGGTGCTTCGAACGCCCGTGCGTCGGGTAACTCGCACCTCCCCAAGGAATGCAGTCCACCGTTATGTCACTGATATTCCGGTACGCGTATAGACCCGCTCTCCACGGGCACGGATGAAAAGGAGTCGGTCGGCGGAGGAGAGAACCCGTCGCCGAGCGTTTCCACGTATGAATCGCGCGCGAGGGAAGCGGCTTTCCGTCGAAGATGGGCGCAAAACCGAGATCCGCCGGCAGATTGCTTGCCGCTGGCCTTCTTCACTTTCTCCAACGGGGAGAAATAAACAATGCGCGGCTGGGTTCGGCTACGAACGAACCCAACTGACCCGTAGACAATGCGAAACGCTGCAGGTGGTGAGGACGAGCTGAACGTTTCGTGAAAAAGTTTAGTGATTTGAACCGGCGCATGTAAAGTTGACAGAACGGTAATAAAGATGAGAAACGGAAGGAAAATGGGAGAGGAAAATGAAAGATAAGAGCGAAGTTGAAAAATAAAGGAACATGAAAAGATAGAGATAGAGATGAGGAATCGAATGAAAATGAAAGACACAGGGACACAGTGAAAGAAATAATAAAGTTAAGAG